CATTTACTGATATTTGAGAAATGTGTCAAAGATTCATAGGGAACAACTGAATATAGAAGTATGAACAGGTTAGAATTTTGCATTAAAAGTAAGCAATCAAGTTGCTACTACTTAAATGTCATTGAAACAGATGTCACTACTTAAAATACAAAAATATCCATCTTGTTAATCTTCTTGAATTATATGATAGTTTTATCTAATAATAAAGTTTTCGTTTTCTCTTTCGAATTATGAAATCAATAAATGTTACAATTATTATGATGCAATTTAATAATCAATGATGCACAATACCCATAAATTAAATAAACATTATCGAAAAAAAATTTCCAAGCGTGCATAATTCTAATATCAACAAAGGAAAAAAAAGAAAGCGAATTTTCGAAGCATTATTGAAATTTGCATAAAATATAAGCAACACCTATCGCAATGGACATTTAATATGCCTTATTTTCACACCAAAAAGCCAACCTACTGTATCTCATTCATTCCATACTTTCATGCCTTTATAAACAATTGCCGTTTGACAAAAAATTAAAATATCCTAACTTTTTCAAATTTAAATTTTGTCACAGTTGATAAAATGCATCATTAAATTTATTTCATCAATTCACACGCCTGAAAACAATTAGAAAGCAATAGCATTCCATTAAGGCGAAAACAAAAAACTTCCTTTCTCTCATTTTTATTATTCTCTTCTTTTTTCCTTCACTTATAGTTCTTCCGATGAAAACTTCGTAAAACTGCTCAATTATTAAAATTTTCGTTGGTCCTAAATTAATATCCATCCTAAACAAATGTTCAGAATTGACTATTATCGGTAGTGAAATGTTTTCTTATTATCACGCTAAACAATGTTCTTTTTTTCATTTAACAACAATAATACTATATTATTTCCTATTATATTCTTCATAAACTTTCATTTTTTTAAAAAAAAATAGTAATATTATTATTTTAATGAAATAATATAAAATTACTATTAGGATTCTCAAATTTTTTGACGATTTTTTATTTATCGTTTCTAAAATTATGGAGGAAAAAGTGACCTGAGGTAAAATTCCATCCAGTCATTATATTATGAGTAAAATTGCAATTTACTGGGAAACAAGTGTATGCTACAGATATTGGAATAATATAAGCAAGGACCTATACAATTTACAATATTCATCAAATGACACATTAAAAAATCGTTATTAGTTTTTCGAGCAGCAGTTTAATAATTAGTCAATATTGTATCATCCATAAGAATGATATCACATAATGTCATCATTTCTATCTCAAAATGAAAGACATTACAGCGCTATTAAGCTTTCAAAAAAAATTTTTTTAGCTATAAATCTTAGAATTTATAATTTTCTCCCCTATCCTAAATCTTTTAGCAGTGAAAAAAAATCTATCAGTTTATTAATTAATTGTTTTCTTTCTACTAATATAAATCTCAGAACTAGTAAAGATAAAAATAGTGACAAAATTTGTAACAGAACACAAAACTTAGCAATAAATGTATGTTATAAAAACGATTAGAAGTTGATGAGAAATGCAAAATTAATTCTTCCTTTTCATTTCCTTATTTTTTTAAGGAAAAAAAATTGCCTGTAAAGTACATTTTACTTTTTCCTTTTTTAATACTGAAGAAAAAAACTTTGAAATCCAATCTTAGTTTTTAGAATTTTATTTACTCGACTATTTCGCTTTCAAGAATTTTCTCGGAACTTAATTCCTCTTACAAGGTTGAAAATACCTATCGCGTTTTATTCAAGCAGGGACCATACCATTTTCCATATAACGATGATATTGTCAACTATGTATAATGCATTTAAAAAAAATATATAAAAAAGAGAAACTTAAAAAAAATATACTATAATGTAGTATGCTACCAAACAATGCTACAATAAAAAACTTTCAATGAAACATTCAAATATCTATCATTTACTCATATTATCAGTAATATTTTTCAATATAATTATCTAAATATATCAATAATTTTTATATTGATATAATAAAGCCATTTCTAGAACAAAATGAAAAACCATCAAATTTTGCGTGTATTCACATAGAAGCAAAACAATTTCAAAATCCGAATTTCAAAATGTCAATCAATTTGTTATATCGCAAAATTTGATAATTTAAAGAAAACTACAATGGAGAAATAAATAAACAAACCGACGAAATGTTATGATCATGATGTGAAGATCGCTTATGGCAGAAATGTTGTAATAGGGAGGAAAATAATCGTAATACTGATGGTAACTTTCGTATCCTGATATGCCTTGGTGAGGAACGTTGCTTATTAGGCAATAAATTATCTTGTGAAATTGACATCGAATGACGTGTGAAGATCGCTGGTTAAGTATCAATACCAATAATGCCAAGCGTTATTAATATGAATAACAAATCTATATATGTGCAGTAACAGTGTAAAAAAATAAATAATGAAAATATACTTTAATATAGTCAGATTAAAGTAATAATTAACATTTGTTTCAACTTCATTTTTCGTTTCTTATTTACATCTTTCTCATAAGCTCTGCTGCTTCATTCCAATAACGATCAAATAAACTTAGAGAATTGCATCCCGATGAAGCTACAAATTTTTATCTTGCCAACTGATATACAGAAATAGAATTTTAAACGCAAAATAAATTTATGTAAAGGTAGTTGGAATTTTTCGCATAAAAACTTCAGAATCCTAAATGATTAAAAATGTTAAATGAATAACCAACATTCATTACTGAAAAGAGAAGCTCCAAACAATTTACCAACAACAGTTGGTTTCTACTGATGCTTAATCTAACTGTCATGTTCAGCATGAGTCTAACTCTCACCATGCTACTTCTTGCAAAGCTAACGCTTCATGAAACTGGGTCTCAACCAAATAAGCCTTTATAGAAATGCTGATATATAGTTCAATATTATTCCACTCTCTTCCTCCTTAAATGATGCCCATCCTTTTAATCCAATTTTTTTTCTCCCTAAAACAAATGTTCTCTTTCTCGGAAGGAAAACATCAATATACTTTTAACTCCCATAAGCACTACTTTCCTTTTTCTTTTTCCATGTTAATAATACCTTAATAATATCAATTATCGAATGTCTCCCAGTTAACACCATACTTTTTCCCACTATCAATTGCTCTTCTTAAACATACGCACATGTCTACACCTTAACTAAGTTTTAGATAATGCAAATAACATGAAACAAGAAGAATGGAAATGAGTGAATCGATGAATAAATTAAGATGTCAATAAACAACATACTATCGCTATCTTTCATTTCCTCATTGTTTAACTGTTTATATCTCATATTTCAAAACAAATAAACAGGTGAACTGAATGAATGAATCAGTCAATGAATGACCGAATAAATGACTGATTATATAAATGAAATATAAATTGACAAAAATAGATATTTTACCTCATTTACCTCATCTTCTTCTTCCTTTCCCTTCCAGCTTTCGCACATCATGATCTTTGCAAAAGCTTCATGATAAAATAATTACCCTTTTCCACTTTTTCACTTAATTGATAAATGATAAGTACTTTCGCATTAGTAAAATAGGAAAGTAGGAATGGAGAAGAAAATGAAAATTTTAAAGAAGAACCCTTTGTTTTATCAAAAAAGCTAAAACATATAAGAAGCAGTAGGGAATAGAGAAAAAGGATAAAAAAAAAACAGGAAAGAACAGAAAACTAGCCCCCTTTTCATCCTAATTTTTGATTGGCTTAAGCTTTCCTTTTAATTCATTCTTTCTTCTTTTTGTCTTCTATCTTTTTCTTCTATTAACTCTTCACAAATAGTAAAGTAGTAAATAACTGATAAACATTGCATGTCTTTTCTCCCATCCATCCTTTAATCCCGAAAATGCGATAAACGTATATTCAAACTCTAATGGACTCTTCTATTCTTCATTTCCCACATATAAACCGCTGCTCCAAGATAATCAACTCATACGGCTTACCATAACATTTCATTTCAAAAATTCTTCTTTCATCTTACTTCTCTATATCTTACATCTTTCATTTTCTACTCTTACAGTAACTAGAAAAATAAAATATTTGCTTGATTAAAACAATGCACAATTCTATACAATATTTGCATTTGCGTTCATTTATCCCTTTTCTTTCTTTCCTTTTTTCTTCGCTTCAATTTCAGATCGAAGGACTGATAAGCACTTAACGAAACAAATATCTCACCCAATTATGCAGTCATTTCTAAAATTACTACAAGTTAAGTTGTGAACTATGAACAAACAAAAATCAATAGCTATGTCTGAAAAGTTCTTGAACATCACTCCGCAGTTTTCACATCTTTTTCAACACCTCCTTTAACTTTCTAAGCAATTAGTTCTCAGTCAAGTCTGATCTTTCATTCACGCTATTCATTTTCCATCTTATACGTCTCTCTTTGGATGCATGTATGCTACATCATCAAATATCTTCAAAATTATGAACAATAATCATTTTTTAATATCCTTGTCAATTAACATCAACTATAAGACGAAAAAGTTGAAAAAGAATAGAGAAAGAGAGAAAGTGGTACTTTCAGAAATGAAAAACTTAAACTCGTAACTCTATTATTTTTGGATTACTGAATGGTGAATATTTTTGTGTCTATCATCAAAAGAAAAATTTTTTTTGATAAGAAAAATTCGATAAGATACTATCGAATTCATCTACACATGCGTATTAAAAAATTATTCGAAATTTGGGAATCACTCTTGACGTTTAATTTAAGATAGGTAAAAGAGTATTAAACTTTAATAAAATGCAAAAATGTTCCGCAGTCACAATAATCTTAAGAAAAATATGAAGAATGAATATCATCAAATACGATGAAGCCGTATCAACCTGTAATTTTATTTTTTCGCTTTTACTCTTATGACTTCTAAGATGCAGCCTGCTACCACAATTAACGTAACGTACATGTAACAGATGTGATAAAATCACTGCTCAGTAATAACCCGTATAGAATTAGAATTTGAAAGAAAAAAGACTGTAAAAGAATCAGACCTCTAAATTGTGATTACTGCTTGAGGAAGTGCAACTACGCAACGAATTTCTATCCTCGTTACTTGTCGGCAAACTATCACTATCTTTCGATGTTCTATCTGATACTGATGTTGTGGTTGTAGCACTAGCATTTCGAGCAGGTACCTGTCTCATATCTGAAAGATTACCATAACTAAAGATGAAAATCTTTTGGTTTTAATTCTATCAAAATCAAATTGCTTTACTTGATGATTTTGAAAAAACTGTTGCTTAAATGACAATAATACCGAAATGAGCAGTCATTAGTCCTTGCATCAACTCTCGAATCTTCTTCACCCAATGCACTTTGCATTGCTCATTGGCTGCTTTCAGCTCTGTACGCATTTCTGTATTTGGCTCATTTCCTTGACGCAAAGCAAACTTGCTCGAATCACCTTCCACGTGTTCACAAACATTGATCTCAGCCAACTAAAATTGTAAAAATAATCTTGTAAAATGATAAGAATAATAAGATCAAGCATTTCCAGAATACACCACTTTTTAGATTATATTCCACAATTACAGATATCAATAGTGATACTATTCATTCATTTTTAAAAAATCTTAAGTGTTCTCCGATCACCAGCAAGTGGCAACCTTTAAATAATATAGCTCAACAAGCAGATCCAAGTTTTGACCATTATCTAAAAAGAAATGAGAATAAAATATTTTTCAAAAATGAAGCTCTCAACCATTCTGAATAGCTCCACTTTTTTCCATTTTACATTCCTCCTCTGCACCTTCAATATAAAGTATCGATCTGTTCTTTTTCCAAACATGAAAACACTTGCCATTAGATGAGTTTTATAGGTATATTTGACTGCACGACTTGATAATTCCGTTTTCTTTGCAAATACAACGCACAGTTCAAACAGGAAGACTTGTCTTTCTCGACCCTTCTTAAAATAAGCTTTCGGATCCCAAACTAGAAATGATTCCTGCATCACAAAATCACCAAGAACACCGAGTTTCTGCAAATAAAAAAAATGAATGAAAGCGACTTACGTGGATCAAAAAACATTACAAAAGTTATATGTGAATCGGATAATGTTTCAGCAAACTAAAACCAGCAACTAAAAAAAAAAAAACAAAAACAGTATGAAAAGAACAGTTGGCTCTCATATTGTTTCTCTTTGATAACATTTTCTGATTTAATCGAACTCCAACAAATATTCTTATAAATCGATCTAATCTCGTTAGACCCAGGGATAGGCGATGTACATGATAACACCGGCCAAACATTTTATACAGCACAGTTTCTTCAAAAAAAAATTTACTTTATAATTTTCAAAATTGCCGAGATGCATAAGATCATTCGCCCGTCGCGGTACGCTAACAACCACATCATAAGCCTCCTGCAATATTTATAAGCAAAGATATGTACTTCATTCAAAATAATGGGGAAAAAAATATCTGATATCGTATTGCAATTTACCAAGTTTTTTTATTTGATAATGCAGATTAAAACACTTCCAGGACAAATCTTTACTATAATCTGGCACTTAGGGGGATTACAGCAAAGTAGAGCTCATGATTTCAAATTTAATTGCTCTATATACCTATACCACAATCTTATCATCCTTTCGAAACGTTATGATTAGATGATGCATTCATTCATTATCTTATAGGTCATCGACTGAACTACTGCAAATAGTTTGTTCTGCAGCATTTTAAAATTTATTTTGTCTTAAGCTTTGCCATCATTTAAACCACCGAGTATTCAAAGGTCAAAATACATGCCCTGATTTCATCAACGTTATTCTTGCAATTTTTGAGTAGCTGTTCGAGCATTAAACGATATCGTGTAATTCGCTGAACAGGTTTGATTACTAAAGATGACAGATCTTGACTGTGTTCCAAACCATTTCTTTCACGAACTTCCTGGAAGAAAAGAAGATGAAAATTTGAGAAAATTTCAAATTTTGAGTGAAAAAGAAAAATCAAAAAATTTGAGAAAAAAAACTGCTGTTTGAAATATGAATAAACTTCACTTTTCCATAAGACTACGATTCTGATTCCCAGTCTAATTCTGAATAATGGACAGAAGCAACTTGTTTTATGAAATTTAATAGCAAATAGGAAATGATATTCAGTTATTCCAATAAAATATATCTACAGATAATATCATCTTATTGAAACCGTTCTAGGTATAATTATTCTTTTTGCATGAGTCATTAAGTCATTTCAGTGGTAATACCCACAGCAGGTTGTAGGATTTCAATGAAATCGATAGCATTGACATATTAAGCAAAATAGATGAAAAAATAAGATCCTAACTTTTTCAAAAATCTGAAAATTACTAACCGAAAAGAACTGCATAGCTTCCGGTAATGCAATAATATAATTATTTTGTTCTTTGTTAACACAGTATTCCGTATATAAACTACTTAGCATTTCAACGGAAAATATGAAACAATACCCCACATCTTCTGGATCATTTTCGTGCTTGATCAATTCTGGTAAGAAGACTCTAAAAATATCGATTGTGGAAAGCCTATATGAAAAATTATAAACTTAATATTTCCTCGAAAATATGAAATCATTTTAAATTTAATAAATGGTTCTTTTATAATTTGTTGGAGAAACAACCATCTGATGAAAGATAAATAAGACAAAATTAAGCAGTATTTTGCAGAAATTTAGTATCCCGCAAACCATATGTTTAACGGCTTTGCCTTTTTAGATCATAATAAAGAATATGATTTATCAATCCACAGCAATGAATAAACTATTTATTTATTCAATGCAATATGTTTCTCTGTGCTTAGAAACATTTCTTAAATTAACAGTAAAAGCCGCGATCAATTTTTTTTCGTATTATGGTACCGGATAAGGAAATTTACAAAGCAACAGTAATGAATATAACAAAAAATGGCTATTTTGCCTTCCAACTTGAAGGAAGTAATTTTTATTTATTAAAATGCTAAAGATATCAACTTACTCGTTATGAAATTTATAAAGTTGCTCAATATTGCTGAAGATTTCTTTCTCTTTATCTCGAATTGCTACAGGCAGTGAATCTTTTGCTGCACGAAACGCACTTAGATAATATTTAATACATTTATGCAAATCTTCAATATAATCTTTTTCAGATTTGATTAACTCCATCATTGGTTCTCTAAAATGAGAATTAAGCAATATTGGAAACAAATAATTCAAAGAGTTACTAACATCCGCAAAAATTTCAGAACTTTTGGTATTTTATATTAATCTGACTTTTTTTCCAATTATACATATTCGATATACAATTTAAAAAAAGAAAACGTCAGATTACCATAAAACACCGAAACAAGTTTCGATATATAAACAAATATATGAATGTCAACAAATTACTATACATCTGTTTTTCAATTTTAAAACTCTTAACTCACCTCATTTTACGTTTTTCTTCATTAGCTAGTCGTTCCACCTCAATTTTTGCTTCAATATTCGAATCACTTTTTCTATCCAAAGAAAATTCATCCTTCTGCAATCATGATTTCGCTAATATGACTCATTTGATATATTTCAAATCATACAACATAGAACATACTAAAAATTTACAGAAGAAAGATACACTATATATATTTTATTAACTAACCGCTTTGTTCACATCCAGTTTTTGTCCGAGTGCTCCATAAAGTAAATTTTCATAGTCGGCAAGACGTATGGAAAAATGTTCATAGCTTGATCGTACATCAAACATTTTTCGTTCGATAGCACTACAGTGATGATCTAGCGTGGATAAGAATTTCTCAGCTAGTTCAAGCATCATTCGAACTTTTAACCTTTTTTGCTGAAGGAAAAAACGTGAATTCGCAAATCAATCTTTGCTATTTAGTTCTATCATCTATTATCAAATAAGAACTCCGAATATCAATTCAAGCAATACATTTTATTAATTCTATATATATCTTCATTTTGTTCTAGTTTTATCATTTCATCTAGCATTATTTCTTTTATAGATGTTTTCTGTCCATAAGAACAAGCCTATTCTTGAAATTACAGCTGATTTTGTGATTACGGTACAACTTAATAAGTGTTGAAAAGGATCTATTATCATCAAGTGCATGACATAAGTTATATCGTCGGTAAAGTAGATAATATATTTACAAAGTATGTGTAAATAACTAAGAATCCAGTAAATAAATTATAAGAAAATGAGCCGGTGCAAATACAAAAGGAAACGATGCAATAGGGAGATGAATAATTTATGTGCATGTATGTTTTAGTTCAATTTAAATAGAAAAGAAAAAACCTTTGCTTCAGCTTTAAAAGTCATGTATTCATCCATGTATGCTTCCAGAGTTCCTCGATCTGCCACGTTTAATCGTCTTTCCAAGCACTGTTTTAAAAATGCTTCGCCTTCAACAGCTATCCACTCAGCATTCTGCAAAAAACTAACTGCTACTACAAGCATAGCTTAATTTTAATTTCAAATTCACTAAATTTAAAACTTTGAAATAAAAATTGTCCAAGAACAATTACGCCTTATGATACTGAAAGTGCGACCTCAATTGCTGTGGCTTCAAGAAGACACGCTTCATGACATCGATCAAGCTGTTGCTTTTTCCGCATCCACAAATCCAGAATTTTCATTTGTCGTTTACGTAGATTTTCCTTAAGAGCCAGGAGGCGTGTTTCATGCAATCTTATATGTTCTGTTGATGCCTCACAACGTCGAATATATTTCAGGAACATCTCTGATGTTTTCTGTCCATAAGAACAACCCTATAATTTTAGAAATTTTTATTATTTTTAGAATACCGCAGCTCATCTTGATAATTACACCTGATTTCGTGATTACGGTACAACTTTATAAATGTTGAAAAAGATCTGTTATCATCAAATGCATGACATAACTCATATCGCCAGATTATGTTAATTGAATAATAAAATATGAACAAACCTTCAAAAATCTCTCCTTATATTCCATATGTTTCGATAGTAAGCTTGACATATGATGCGCTCGATCCTTAGCATCTTCTCCGTTTCTAACTTGGCACCAATCTTTCGAACTCATACTGTATTCTTTCTCGAGTTGATCCAAAATTGGCATGACCTATGAAGGTACTTGCAGAAACCAATTACTCTTTATGTGAACTTCTAATATACACTTATTGCGCAAAATATTACTATAATATTTCAAGCTTCTATTTTTGCTCAACAACAAATATTTTAAAATCATAACAAATCCGAACTAATGTAGATGTTTTTGACTCAAGTAAAAATGAAGCATTTGCAGCGCTCAAAAAATCCCACTCTCGGAAATCAATTTTCTTTCATTTAACTGCATCATTAGCAATAACTATGTCGATTAATATCAACTAATAGGCTATGCAAAATTAATTAATACCCATTGATATTTTTTATGATATCCACCAAGGGTACTTAAATTTCCATTGTAAATCTACTGCTTTTACTGAAATGCAATTATTTATCGAATAGGGCGATATTTGATTCCACTTTCTTCCGTTAGCTAGAACATGAAACCACTACCACGTCAATACGTACGAATACAATCTTTTAAAGAGAACCGCGCTTTTCATTATATATAAATATGTTACTTGCTCACAAAGTTGCGCACAAGATTTCATTTATCTTATAATTTATTTTCAATGATTACTGCCGGTATAAAATTCTTCGCTTTCTAGTATAAATTAAAAGACATCTTAAAAAGACTTCAGAAAATAAAATACTAAAAAACTAACTCCCTGATGCAACGTTTTGTAGCACACAACACCGGCCTTAATTAATTTATTCCTTTCTTCCGTAACACCAACTAATCGTCTCCAGCGATTTAATACTTCTTCATTCAAATCATCCACAGAACGGACATCAACACCACCACTACTAATCAGTTGGTCGGTTTTATTCAAAAATGCACTTGTTGTACGACTGATACTCTAAAATTTGTATTTTTAAAATTCTAAAAATGAAAATTTTCAACAAATTTTAGGAAAAATCTTGGCAAAAGAACGTTGAATTCCTTTTGGAGATCCACGCATTTAACTATGTGCTTCTCCTTTTTTTAAAAATTCAAATCTTATTCTCGAATTTTGCTTTAATAGACGATTCTGAAGAAAAGATGAATTCTAAAATAGCAATAAGAAATACTATCCAGATAAGTAATCAGATTTAAGGTTCAAAATTTTAACATTAGTAATACAAAATTCCCGAAGTTTAATAGAAATGAATTTTGCAATGATGAATCCCGAAATTTAAAGAGCTTATAATTTTACAAAAGATCAAACCAGTTTTTCAAAACTCAATGTCAGTAAAAACTGCAATTGGTCACTTTCTTCCAGAGAAAAAACACAACAATTAAGGAAAGAGGATCTTAGCATATCACTCCCTATGCATGATTAACGCAAATCGAAAAGTCAAATTTTGAACTCAAAAATAAAAACTGCACGTACGATTACACTCAAACTTGTTGTCAACATTGCAAACAAAATATCATATAAACAAATGGTTATCGCTCAATAACTTCAAAATTTTGAAAAATAAATTCAAGTCAAATATCAAAATTTGACTTCCATCAGCTAAACCGTTACAAGTAATGTAATTTCAAAATCCACCATAAAACCCATAACAAAATCAGCCAAGTCTGGTAAAAAGAATGGTAAGGAAGGTGCATAACTTCTAAAATGTGGAATCAGTCAAAAAGCTAATACACAGCAATGTGATTACAAAATAAACTCAATTAGCAAATAAGAGTATGCTGTATCGAATACAGCGAAAAAATTTAAGAACGGAGATTTAATCTACTTAAAAGTTTCACTCATTCATAATTGAAGAAAATTCCAGCTGGCTAATTAAGGGTCTCCTACCGTCTATTAAAAAAGTTTTATAAAACCAAAACAAAAAATAAAAAAGTCACTGCTGTTTGAAAAAAAAAAAGAATAATTGCAACTGCAAAAAAAAAATTAAAGAAATTAGTTCCAGTTCTATTCAATAATTTACCTCGACAGCATGTTGGAATTGTTTATGAGCAGCTTGAGCAGCTAAAGCTTCTTCTAACGAAGTTGGAATTGTGTTCATATGAAGCAATTTTGTCTCCTCGTACTGCATTTTTTGTATTGCAACTGCCGCCATTGCGCGTGCACGATTGAACTGCATACATTGCTCAATTCGATGATGCGTCTCTTGAGCTACCTGAGACAAACCAAAATAAAATCTGCCAAATCACATTTTAACACATCAAAATGAGCTCGCTTGTTTATTGTCGTAATTAGGCATAAACAAACAGTAATATATGTGTTCACTTGAAAGATGATAGTGAAATAGATGATTTGAATCATATGCTATATATATTCGAACAAATTTAACTGGCGGCTCTATATTTCTTATCTCCGAAAAATTCTGTCAAACCGAAACAAAAAAAGACCAGTGATAAAAAGCAAGCTACTACATTTGGTTCCATTTAAACGTTTCAAATTTAACAAAGTCCTGACAACTTGACGAGCTATATCAAATAACATTCGTCCAAAAATACCATATGTAGAGACTAATTATTTTACGAACAATTTTCTTGACTGTTCTGGTAGTACCTTTCGCGTCAGTAATAAAGTATCTAATTAACAACTAACCTGCATTACTTCGCGTTGACAGTCAGTCAACTGTTGTAAGCTAGTAATGATCACATCGGTGGCCAATATACCCTCCGTATTAACAAGTGTAGATTCGTTGTCTCGTAGAGCCTTTAAATAAAATTTAATAAAATAAATTCATGCTTTCAACAGACAGTTTATAAAAACCTTTAATCAGGTCAACCATTATTATTTCTATAATACTTTTTGACTAGTTCAAGCACAAAACATTGATAGCAGATAAGAATCTCTAATTTCATAATGACTTTTCTATCCCCTCAGCTCTGCAGCTTCCTCGACAATTCCAAATATTAAAAAAAATTCGACATATACTTATTTTTCACAAGATTTAAATGAAATATTAAAGTATAATGATGAAAGGGGGTGCTAGTACAGCAACGTTTAAGGAAGTGAAAAAAGATTATTCATGACTGGCTGTTTACATCGAATACATAATAAATAATCGAACTTCATAAGCGAATGACCGCTATATTAGAGCGATTGTCTACTGTTCCTTACATAGCATTTCATAGCAAATATAAATAAGTTTGGGAGAAATTGCATACAAATTTTGGGTTTGTACAAAATGACTACTTTACAATTTGTTAGTTCTGAGCAAAACATGCCATCGGAATTACGGATTTTTGCCCGTAATACAACGAATATCCAGGCAAACAGTTAGACAGTACGTATTCAAATATTCGTAAAAACAAATTTATAGATAGTCATGGATTAATAAGCAACCTCCGAATGTAAAGATCAAGAAAGCGATTTTGAAAGGCAGCGAATTGGTGTAATCAGAAGGTGTAAGAAGTGTACTTTCGTATAACTGACGAACGTTCTTTTTGTTTCATCTTGGATAACGGAGCAATTTCTTTTATTTTTACTACCGACTGTTCTCGATAATTTCTTTGTTCTGTTTTTTGTTATCCACAATAATAAATAGGCACTAAGCCCACTAATTTGAGAAGTATGCAAGAACTTAGCATAGATATTGCAAATTTCCCAAAATTTGAATAAATGATTCTATGGCGAAATAACATAGTCAACAGTGAAAATTAATAATATAAAACCTTAATTTGGAAAGATGCAGAATGAGACATTTTTATAGTATCACTGTTTATGATAAATTAATGGATAATGTTACTAAAGAATGAAAGTTTAAAAAAAGCTTCTGTAGAAATCTTCAAAAAAATTCAATATGAACTTCAAATTTGAAAAATCAAGTGTTAATTTAAAAAATTTCTGCAATATAATCATTAAAATAGTCATAACTTCTCCCTTTTTTATAAATGTCGACAAAATAAAGCTTCATATATTTTAAGGATTATACTTTCACCATCAAAATATAGTCGTGTAAGATATCAATTAAGTGAATATAACATCAAAAAATTGAATATTTCAGAGTAAAAAAAAATCAAAATAGATGAAAAAAGTGATTAAAAAAATAGGCTGCAGGCGAAGTCTTCATAAGCATACTTAAAAATCTCAGATCCTGTAAGTCCAAAAAAAAAACGAACTGAACCAAATGACCAATTTATTTTTCTTATTTATATTGAGCAGTTTACTTTCAGCTGAAAAATATTTTATGATTGCAAAAGGCCACCTGCAGCAGCTCAGCAGCATTATTTTTAACTCCGGTGACGGCATTTTTGACCTGGGTAGTATTATCATCTTGATATGGGAGGATATGTTCTGCACGCTCAGCGAAATTATTAGATTTCACCAAAGCCACCATGTCCTCTCGCCAGTTCTGCAAATATTAAAGTGGAAAAAGATCTCCAAAATGACTGCATACCTAATAAATTTCTTATGCTAAATATTGATATTTTATCGCCCCATATCAATTCAATATAGCCTCTACATTTATGTGAAAGTTAAATGAATCCATACATCATCCACCATTAATAGAAGGAGTTTAAATACATTTGTTTTATTTGAACGGTTTGGACTGAAGCAATGAAGAAATGTGTGCAAGGACAGTAAAGTGAGTGTGATGATCGCGTGAAACACCAGACACAGCACTTGAAATCTACTCCAAATCAAACCTGAGTTATAAATTCGTTCATACCTTAAGCTGTTGAATAATCTGCTTGCAATCTTTGATAAAAGCTGCAAATTTTACACCTAGCTGAAGAGATCTTCTTTGATGTGGCCAACGATCAGCTAGTTTTGCATGCCGCTGCTCTGCAAATTAGTAATCAAGAAAATTTATTTTCAGTTTAACTAAATAATTCGAAACAAAGCAGAATTATTGCTAACTTGAAAAAAGTTATAAATAAGCTACTCACCAATATCATTGATCAAACGCTCGATGACAGCAACAGTATCACGATTATCGATGTTCATTATCTTAGCTTGCTGCTCCAACGCCCTAAGCAGTTGATTTCCTTCGCCCACTGTAGTCGCATATGCCTAAATTGAAATCAAATTAAATATTTGGGAAAACTGAATATTCGAAAGAGTTGTTTCTAGAAACAGATATTTCTTAAAATACTTGATTGAATCTAAAAAGATTAGTTTGTGGATGATCAAATCTACACACTCATTAACGAGAAATATGCACTAAAGCATAGAAATCAACATCGATTAATAAGATATTCAACACGTAAATAGGAGGGAATCAAATATCACTGGAAAAAGAGAAAAATGAAACTAAATAAAAATCGAATTCCAGGGATCTTATAACTAGCAGTCATATTCAATTTAAAACTGAGAATTTCGAAATTTCAACTTCCGTTAAACGTAGATTTAGTATTTAGTATAAATAAAAAACCTGCGCCGTGGCATCACTTTCAATCATCCATTCTTCTTTACGACGTTCACCTTCGTGAACATTTGTAGAAACAAAGTCATACTGGCTACTCTTCACCTCCATCCGTCCATACCATTCCGTAATTTCATTATAATGTGTGTGGAACAGAACTGACTTATTCAGCAAATCTCGTCGTGCTTCGACCTAAAAGCCTCATTTATAATATCAAAGGTATGGATCTCTGAAATATTTCTCGGTATCTTCGATATAAAAAATGGAAAGAAATCTAACTCTAGCAGAAAAAGCTTCAATTCGCCTTCTCAACTCTTCCACCACAACACTCATTTGCTGTACATCGCATTCACCTAAAATCATTTAGCAATTACAATTATTAAAACTTAATTCATGCAAATTACTTATAAATAAAATTGCCCAAGAAATATTGCAACTGTTCGACTGCCAGTGTCACCCACTACAATGACAATCTCAAAGTATGGTGGGACGTATAAAAGTATTTAAAAGAAATTTGTAATAGCAATGAATAAAACTTAGAACTACAATCGGAAAAATTAGTAGGGACGAGTAAATGAAATAATTTAATGCATGACAATTGTCTACTTACAAGAATTGATCCAAGGCCATATATGAAATGATGCAGTTTTGCAATTATGAGAAAGTAACTTGAACCAAACGATTTGATAGTTTTAAAGGTGAACTCATTCCAATTTTATAAATTACGTATGCAAAACAGAGACAAAACTGCATTGGAAATAAAAACTTACCAGATTCAATGATAGTATTGGATGCGGTAAATAATTTCTCCGCATTTGAGTAAGTATTAGAGGCTACCGATCGAAAATGACTGTGATTTCTTTGTAAAATTTTCGCTTGCGATAAATTATTACCAATAGCAGTATTTTTATTCAAGTATGCATCACCGTGTTCTTCCAACCATTGAAGAACCTGAAATACAAAAAATCTTATAAAAATTCTGTATGTTCCTATCCATGTATCTCTTATATATTCACTGTTGGAACCATTGTTTATATCACTGCTATTGCTTCAAAAAGTAACATATATTTCTGTCGTTATTAATTAAGAAACATAAAAAGAATGAGAAACTCGGAAAATTATAAATATTAAATTTCCTGAAATAATTGAATCAAATAACCGAGTGTAATAAAAAAGTAAGATCGCATATTTCATATAAATCAGTTTTGCAGTTGTTTCCTCACAACAAAACACTCACTTCAACGCATCTTCAGATTACTATGTGAACATGGCTACATATCAACTTTTTGAGAACTTCAACTACACATTTACTGTTAAATTGACATTTGAGCTTCAAAATATCTTCAAAATATTTGTAAAAGTAAAGAGAACCAACCCTATGAGTATCTGTTTCAAAAGCAATCAGTGCAAGCCTGGAATGTAAACGTAGCTTTTTAGCCTGCCACTGAGAATGTAATTCTTTATGCGCTCGAGTTATTTGTTGAATCAAATCAACAACATGTTTGTATGCATTATTCTGGCCAACTGCATCGCCTGCTAACGTCTTCAAAATTTGTGTTAAAGAACGGCCATCACCAACAGCCTACAATGATTACTTGTTCAGGATTAATTAGAAGAATCATTTAATAAGTCATCTAAACATAAACTATTAAATACATTTAGAGCTTATTCAAAAATTAAATCCACTCATTCAGCTTTTGAAATAGTATTCTATTGGTACAATAATATTTAATTTCATTATATTTTAACAAATTTATATTAATTCGATTTTACAAGGATCCCGTTATTATTTAATGATTGATTCTCTTTTGATTTAACCAGCGCGTAAGATCTCCCGTTGCAGAAATAATTTATAATTGGCAAGAAAGCAAATCATTCGCCCAGCTATGGATAAAAGAAATGCATTAAAGTACGCTTCAATTAAACACTGCTTAGAAGTATTACAAATTATGTAATTCTTCGATGGAAATCACAGAGAGATGAGAAACTGATAATTCTTCTTAAATTGCATCAAAAATCTTATCAGTTTTACCTCAGCATATGTTTGCAAGAACATTTCTCCAAAACGTTCATGTTCGGCGATTGCTGCCTCCAGTTCATCACCAGAATATTGGCTCATCCGTCTACCATTATCCATTGTAATGCTATGCAACCACGATGGCGTATTTGATAAATACTATAAATCAAAAATTAAAATTGAGGAAAAAAAGAACAATGCAAAACTCCATGTAGCCAGAATTTTCCTTTTTTCATAAACCTAAAGTGTAATCAGAAACCAGTTTCAGCAAATGTCATCCCACCGGTATCGCATTAAATCTTGAAACACAAACTGACAATATGGCTTTTGCGATGAAAAGAAAGCGCCAAATCAAGAAGACGAGAACGCTGCTCATTGATTTGTTTGAATCGTCGCCATTCGTCATCCAAATGCATTGCTACATTTTCAATTTGTACTTTTCCATAATTTCCAATTTCGCGCAGACGCTTGGCAACTGTCGTCACATGTGATACATTAACTTCGGTATTCTGCACAATTTACCAATTATTTGACATCAGCAAAATCAGAATTTACATTTTAGTTTTCGAGCACAGAAAAAAGTTTAAAAAAAAGAAAAAAAAGCCAAAATTGAAGTAATGAAAATATTGCTAATAGCAATATTTTCATTATTTCAATTTTATTTAAAACAATAAAATTGGTCTGAGAAAAAAATCTAACATTGGCTGCTGCAATGAAGTCAAGATGTTCTGTGAGTAACATTGAAGTTGATTGTTCAGAATCACCGATTTCAAGAAGTCGTTGTGTTGATAAAGCATAATGACTGCGAATCCAATCGAACATCTAAATGTATGAATTACTTCCTTACAGATATAAAAAAAAAAAGAAAAAGCATGAAAAATAATGATTTCTTGTAGATATAAAAAATAAAGAAAAGTTCTTTTAGAGAACTAAGCAAATTCTAAAACAGAAAAGGAATTGAGAGAAAAAAAAAACGGGCAGAAAGACAGAAAAGTAATCACAAAAATGTTCACTTTGTCTGCATCTTGTTCAAAAAGTTTCAGTTGATAGCAATGATCTAACTTCTGCCGACGCGTTTCCCATTGTACAAAAATTTCATCCCTGGAAAACTCATCAATAAAAATATATAGAAAAAAAAACGAAAATTTAAGGAAAGAAGGAGAAAAAAATCTTTGTTGGGATTAATTTGACGAAGTAATTTATAAAGTTAAACAAACTTTGAGGTACGCAACGAATTAACAAGAGATGAAAGATGGGGAAGGGCAGCGGCAAGATCTGGATTAGTTGTTAGCAGTGCATTTGATGAATTATAACTACCATCCGGTACTCCGTCAGCAGAACCTGATATCCTCTGTTGCACCTAAAAAAAGAAGAAAATAATAAACATGATTAAAAGTGGAATTAGAAAACTTTTTATTGAGTCCTTAAAATTGCTATGCCCGATATGCAATTACTAGTAAATTAAATTTTCGTTTACTTACTCGTTCGACATCGTGTTGAATCCGTTCAATTGGTGCACCTAAGATTTTCTTCTTCAACAAAACATGTGCTGCTGTAGCACGCTCGGCCGTAGCAACATCAATTGGCATTTCACCATTTTTCATTTCTTCACGAAAGGTTTCAAAATTATGCATAACCTCAATTGTTTGCCAAATCAACCTTTCCAATTCCTGCAGGTTTAGTGACAACTATATTTTTTCTTCAAATAATAGCTATGGAAAACTCGAGCTTCCAGAATAATTAATGGAAAATTAAATTTACGTTCAGTTGAATAAGTAAATTGAATATTAAATAGGTAAATTTTCATGTGCAATAAAAACTTTCGTTTCTTGTTAAAAAAAATTATACAGCTAAAAAATACAATAGGAAGGAACTGGTACCATTCTTGTTTCAAGCCATTCATCGTGATCATAAAATAGTGAACCACCTAAATCACGCGTTAATTGCGATGAATCGACAAATCGCGTAAGTCCTTCAACCGAAATCATTTGAATATCAAATTTATACTTCCCACTTGACACCGATGTTTTGTGCTTCTCCCAAAACTTATCCGGTTTAATGATCAAAACAGCATGCACTTCTGCCGGAAAATGTTCCTACAATTCGTAAATTAAATTTAATCATCCACATCGTCTAATTTTCTATTGCATTCATTCTTCTCTACAGTGAAAATATAAAACTGTTACAAATGCCCAATAATAGCTATGATTTCGAGAAATCAGAAAAATGATCAATAATTTCAAATCCTGAAGAATATTATTCAATCATCATCTTAATTCTAAGTTTTTTAAATTTCATTAAATTTCCATTTTCATAAAAAAGACCATATTTAAAAAAGCAATATTTACTTCAAAAGAAATTGCTTGCTACTAAGTGTGCTTTCAAAATGTAATATCCTTACCAACCTGTATAGATTTGAGAATAGGTTTAACATTATTCCATGTCGTGCCTTTCCTCATATCGATAATGATCGTGAATCCACGATCCTTGTAATCATCTCTGAAAAACTCAGCATGATCATTCAGAATACTTGAATAAATAATTTCTTCTTAATCTTCTGTCCGTAAATAATCTCATTTGCTAACAATTCTCTAGCAGTCTATTTATTTGCTTCTAAGCTTTAAACATATACATCAATGCGCTTCTTATTTACGTACCAACGAGGTAAACAAAGACGAGAGTTTTTGTTTGATTTCTTACATAAAGTAAAGTATCACGATACCTGATATGCAGAGAAGTGCAATGTACGAACTATTCAATAATTAAGCCTAATACACCTTTTACAAGTTAACTAATTATTATGTACATTCGAAAATTTTTCAAAAAAAACTTATTTTTATATTTCAAAACTTTTGAGATTTCGTTTTTTAAAAATATTTTATGCAAACTAACGCTGTAACAGCATGAAGATAAATAAGTATATTCCTGATGTAATCGGAATTGATCGATGTAGTATTTTCACGAGCTGGAAAGATAATCACGGCTCGACCACTCCTATCTCTTGTACCAGGTAATAACGCCACACGATCACGTAACACGTGAAGAATATCTTCAGCTTTTGGGCATCCATCTCGCATCTCTACTATTTGATGATGCAACGCTTCCGCACCACGGACCTTTGATGTCCTAGACTAGATCAAATCTTTGCCGCAACGATCGTCCGTATTTCTGCAATGGAAAATGATTTCATATAGTGTTCCAAAAATAAATGTCATCAAATACACACTTTTACCGCTTTCATAAAATCGTGAAGAAACAATTAATAATGAACAATAATAATGGTAGAAGTGAATATGTAATTACAAGCGATAACTATAATATTGAGAATAATCATTAAAGATAATTGCTAACACATATAAATGATAACAACAGTATTGCTTTAACAAAATTTGTAAAAATCATTTGTAAAATTTATATGTATTGTGACGTTAAATATTACATTCAAATACCCTAATTGCAAAACTGAACTTGTCCAAGAATCAGCATTACAAGATAATAATAATGATAGTAATAATAACTGTAGAATATTATAACGAATACGGGGAGAATAAAACTCAATAATAACTGCGATTAATCGTGATTGCAAAATTTTGCCGCGGAAATTGCTTGTATCGAATTTAATAAAAAATTTAAGTTTCAAAAATTTCGTCTGCAATTTTAAATTAAACTAATTACAACCGGAAGAATTTTGAAGATTTTAACTATACTGACAATCTTATTAACAAATATTGTGATGATCTTAAAGATTTTTTTAAATCATAATGAATGTTTGAAATTACTGGTACCTTTTAAAATTATAATAAAAATTCATCATAATGCAAGCAATCGTTCGTGTAATGAACTGCCAAAACTATAGTGAGTGTTGAAGAAAAATGTCCACCATAATTATCAAATACTGTAATTTAAAACAAATATAACTATGTAATCAATATATTGAATTATGGATGAAGTTATGGTTGGTGGTGTTACGAGAAGTTACAATCAATGGTTGTCATGATGGCAGAGAAAAAATTATTCAATATATATATTGATTAAATATTGAATTTTATTTATATATACAATCAATATTATAGCTAAATAGCTAATGATAATTACCAAAATCACGATAGAAAAATAATGTATACAATCACAATTCAGTTATCGACAAAAACAACAACAAGTAACAGCAATAACAACATAACACAGTGCGAGAAAATTTTGTGATACAATCACTGAACTGATAGCTGATAAGAACAAAGTTTTAGATTGTATGATGACGAGATGTGTACCGCCACTACTGTTTGTATCGGATAAAACATCAGTAAAGCTATAATTCGAATTTTTGTCACCACAATTAGCACATGGTGATGAGATAACTGATTAGTGATAAGTGATGAGTGATTAGTGATAACAACACAAGTGATAGCACCCCACTTTTCCCATCAATTGAGACTTCGCGGTAGCTTATCTCATTCCGGTAATTGAACCCCGGAACCCGAGGGCCGCAAAACACATAGCACACATCCGGTAAATTTATTTGCCAACTGCTGCAGCTTTATATCGCTCTTTTTCTGTTCCGTTGAATTAAACTCTGTGTTGCCTTTCTCTCTCTCTCTCTCTCTCTCGCTTTCTCTCTTTTTCTCTCTCCCTCTCCCTCCCCCTTCCTTCTTTCTCGCTTACTTCAATAACTATAATTGTGCAGTAATATCACAATCACAGGTTTCATCGATGGGAATGGATCGATAGCAAGAGAATAGATCAACTTGTAATTTTATTAATATTCTTGCTGATCTTCTAAATTTTTCATGTAGTTATTGATTATATTTTTCGATTATTCTTAGAGGTTTTTATGGACGTTTAAAATATTGAAATACATTTTGATATATTCTTAGACGAGTTTTTCTTTTTTGTATATTACACAAATATTTCTGTGGACGTTTAAATTTAATTTCATTTATTTCAACTAATGAAGGAATAGGAAATAGAATGAAAACGAATTACTGGTTTTAACAGAGAGCATTGGGAATTGGTAATATCAATGAGATTTTAATTAGTTTGTTAATTTACTTATTAACTTATTTGTTCATTTCCTATGAAAGCTTTAGTGTAGATGAAGTGATTGTGTTGATAGGCGAAATTGGGATCAAGAAGTTCATGTGCTATCTCTCGATAAGCAACATTAAGCTGCATGTTTACTGTGTTGAAACAGTTTTTTATCTATACATGTGTATTTCGTGGATAATCCCGAATTAATGCTTTTGCAAATAGTTCGTTCGATAACAGAAACTGACCCATTGACCTTTCTCTCTTCTTTTTCCTTCATTTTTTGAAGAATGAGGAAGGCAAGAAATTTATTTATTCATTTGGAATAGGAAATAAGAGTGAAGGAAAAACGGAATCCATCGATTCCATCTCTCCTTCCCTCCATCCCTTACTTCCATCTACTCTCTCTCTTTTTTCCATGTCTTTCATTGGATTCTTTGCTTTCATCTAAATACTTTCCATCTTAATCATCTTACTTTTACATCATCTTTTTCAACTTCACCATCCATCTGTTTATTTGTTTATTTACAACGAAGGAAGAGAGGCAGATGAGGGAAGAAAGACTGAGAGGAAATTGTGATGTAACTGAACAGGTATATTTCCATTATTTTTCTCTCTCGAATTTCTCGTCTTGAATAAGAGGAAAAGGTTGGCTAGAATAATAGCAATTCAACTTTACCACATTCCTATTTCAAATTTACTAGATCCTGATTTTAAGCTTACCAGATTTCTGTTTTAAATTTATTGCCTTTCTTTTCTCTTGTTCCAGACTTACCGGTTTTCGTCTTCTTTCGTTTTTTTTTTTTGGTATAGATATAAATTAGAAAGTATAAGATATGTGAGATTTCGATAACATTTATTCTATTAATCTGAAGTGATAAGAATCGAGCAGGAATGACATTAGTATTTTTAGGTTTTTCTTGAAAATAATACATACAATTTTTAGAGAATTTTTAATTGACTGTTAAAATTCTTTTTTTTTTTCTACATGTTCACGTTATACTTGTTTTTTTTTTCATATTTTGTTGAATTTATTCGTAGTATAGAAAAATTTTTTTTCGAGTTCTGAAAAATTGCGATCTTTTCCCTACTTTGCTTCTTGTTTTATTGGTTCTTTCTCCCTAATATATCAGTCAACACAGTACTAACAAATTTTAATTTATCAAGCAATTTTACGAAAGTATAATTTCAATCATCTATTGATTTTAGGTTTTTGATTTTTGGTAGCCAGGAAGTTTGTTTTTTTTTTTTTTTCGGATATAGTTTGCATATTGTTAGAAGCGAATGAACTCTGAACTTTTTGTGAATGTTATAAGTGTTTAATGAGCAATACACCGAACTAATAATTATCATTTTTAGAATTCCGAAAAAAAAAGGGCTTATGAAAATTTTCGGATTACACATATCAATGAAATTCACAATAAACTGAGGGAAAATGAACTTCTATATGTATGGAATTTATGCTACGTGTAACAAACAGCAATGTAAACGAAAAATAAATACTTGCCCTTTGACCTCTGACGTTAATCGATACGCCTTTAAAACCTATCATTTTGATATGTCTGCATATGGAGTGGTTTTGATAATATCGTACTCTTTCCATAATGATTAAATTTTTCTTCGTCTTGTTGCACACTCTGTCAGACGAAATTTTGGCATTAGCATTTATTTATGTATGTTCAGCTTGACAAATGGTCTTCCTGATTGGGAATGATCAACAGAAATGTTAAGAACGAGAAAAAATACGTTGTTAGATTTTTCCTTTCATTTGCTAATATTAACATTATATACATTTGTTGTTGTTATTTCATTTAACTATAACATTTTAGCTGCCTCTCAAGAAAGCACTAATTGTAATGCTTTCTTTGCTAATATTGACATTATATACATTTGTTATTTCATTCAACTATAATGCTTCGATTTTTTAGTAACTAATAATACTGTGAGAGATGGCTGAAACGTACACGTGATACATATGTATAGAAAAAAAAAAGCTATTTGATATTGTGCGTGTACGAATGCTATGAGTATATTTTAATAAATGTATATATTGACATAATTTCTAAGCTGTATGTTGAAGAATGGCAGTATTGATTTTTTTCTCTCAATTCATAGTTAACCGAGTTCTGCAACCGCTAACATTAGCTGTAGTTTGCGAGAATATTATTGAAGCTGCACGGATATCAATTTGTTCATCTGGGGAATTGCTTTACTCAATTCACATGTTTTCCATGCATGTTATTGCACTCATGCACACCACATACAAGCATGCATTCATGTTCATGCATATGTGAAACTACGAGTGTATACATACTAACACATAGGATACTTGGAAATACACGTATGTACCCGAGTTTATATGTATAAACATATATTCATCTATACATGAATATTAATGGAATCTGAGATGTGCTAAATAAGGAAATTTAAATTTGCGTATTTATGTGGATATTAACTAATATTCAGGAAAATGCGGGCTCTCTCCCTAAAATAGAAAGAGGCCCACTTCAAAAATTGTATGGAAATTATTGCGTACAATTTTTGGAATGAATTTTTTTCTTGCTAGTTTTCAGACTCAATTTGATTAGGTCAAAATAGAATATAAAAGTTTTTGCTATTAAATTAAATCAATTCTATATGTATATTTTTCTGAAATTTAGTGTTATATATAGAAGATGGCATAAAATTCGAAGATTTGGCTGCTGTATGTCAGGATTTGGAGTAGCATATGTTAGTAATCAAAGTCGGAATAACGTATCTGAGGTGTTGTATACGTTGGAATAAGTTTTTTTTTTTTGTTTCATGCATAAATCTGAAATGTGTTAAAGATCATATAAGCCTTTATCTGCAGTATCTGATCCTGCAATTTACTTTTTATCGAAGTTCTATTAACTTATTTGTGCATGTTAAATATAATCTTTGCTACATTTAATTTATTGAAGCGTGAAATCGATTTCCGCATATTTCATCCATTTTTTAATATATAAAATACATTTCAAGTATCAGTTAACTTCAACTTATAAATATGTATTATGATTTGTTCATAAATTCACGG